ACAATTATTGATTTAGGAGTTAGTAGAGATAACAAAAATGAAATTAGAAGGAACTTGTGTGATGCTTATGAGAGATGACTGGCCGCAATTTAAATATTTACTTTACTGAGGATAATTTTAACCAAATTAAAGGTCTCATTTCCAAAAAAGAAGTTAGCCGCTTTGTAAACAAAGCCGTGGCGGAACAATTAAAAAGGGAGAATGCTACTTTTCGTCAGCAATTAATTGCTGATTACCAAGATGCGGCCCAAGATAAAGAACTAAATGAGGAATTAACAAGTTGAGACAAAGCCCTTAATGATGGATTAAACCAAAATGACCAATAAATTATTTCCGCACGGCTTTCCGCAACGGGGAGAAATTTACAAATTCAACTTTAACCCCACTCGCGGCAAAGAAATCCGGGATATTCATCCGGGTTTGGTGGTTTCTATTAACGAACAAAATGAACACGGACACTACTTAATTGTTGCTCCTATTACTAGTACCTTAAAAAAGGTGCGGCTATTCGAAGTGTTCATTAATGCTAACCAGCAAACTGGTTTAGACAAACCCAGCAAAATTTTACTTAATCAAATTCGCAGTATTGATAAAAAGACTAGGATAACTGAGTATTTGGGCCAAGCCGATACGGAAACTATGCACCAAGTAAATAATTGCTTAGATCTAGTTTTGGGTTTGGCAAGATAAGAACTTTATCCAAGTAAAGCAATGACAAAAAATTTTCTTTATCAGTTCAAAGAAAAACTGAAAAATGGGGATATCAAAATTGGTAAGCTTAAAGGAACTAACCGCTTGCTAATTATTAGTATTTCGAGCGAGGAATGAGTAGATATTAATTGCGATGACCTAAACGAAATTAAAGATATTAGAAAGAAATTATACGGAATGAGTGAAACAGAATATAGCCAGTTTGACTAATTTGTTTTTTATCTTTTATCCAAAAAATAACTTCCCCCCTATTGCGTAAAAATAAATTAGGCTAAATCCCTCTACATATACCCCCTTTTTAAATACTCATTCACTAACCTGCTTTTTCTCCCAACTAACTGCTCCCGAT